TTAAGGTAAACGTCGGCATAAATTGAAAATAAAGTTCTATACTCTTTATGGTTGGTTTGAAAATAATTGCTTACATTCGATTTAGTAATAGAAAGACCGGAAATGAGTCTGACGTTAAAGTTTTAAAGTACGTTGCTTATTTTATTTTGAACTGATAAAGACAGTGAAAACAGGCTTCGAAAAAGTTATTGGAACCAAACCAAGTATATTATCGGTCTTTATAATATTTTGGGTCGTGCCGTCCCTCGATGTGATTCACTGTATAAAATTACCAAAGCGATTATAAATGGGTGTGCATAGATGATTTAAGGAACAAGACATTTTAAACTTAACTAAGCATCAAATGTTCAGATTTCGGAGACATAAGATAGTGGTACGAACCTTGGAATTCCTGAGTCATCTAAAGCTATCTGAGTACTTATTTGAAAGGCTGTAAGGAAAAGTGCCATACGTAGCTGAACGTAAAAACCACGACTCCGGCGCACCATACACCATTCTCTCTCAAATTGACACTCATCAATACATTATAAATAAAGAAAAATATATTCTTGTTAAACGTCCAAACCCGAGGTATATATATCTATAATTACTATAAAAATATACAACCTCAATTACACATTCAACAAACTATCCATATAGAATGAAATAACTAAACCTTTTGTCTTCTGCTACTGAAACACTTAAACTGCATAGAGACTTGTTTTGTTACAAAATTGAATGCTCTAGAACAGACAAAAGAAGCATTTACTACTTTAATGAGTAAAACTCATTAATCCTCTAACATATGTACTCTGTGTTTAAATAATTTCTTAGGTTATTTGTTTAACACATTTGTAAGCGATTAATACACAAGGAGGAGAGTAATTACTTACTGAAGTGATTAAATGTTAAATTTTGTTTTTGGATAAATCATACACACCAAAATATACAAACTTATTCTTAGAGATTTCTAAGAAAGAAAACTGAGTACAACACTAAGGCATCGTCAATAAGGAATTGTCTATTTGAGTTGGATTAGATTTTTAAATTTTCTGGAGTTGACAAAACATCCATTGTTCAATGTTTTGTTAACTCAAGTGTTATAAACACATGATAGTGTAAACGTCGTCAAATTCAAATAACAACATGATGTTCGGTTTTCAAATTTTATAAACCCTGTTACCACAGCTCTCTATCTTAACAATTTGGAAATGGTAAAACATTTTTGGTCTCGAATATAAACCTTACTTCGTACAAAGCAGAATAATACTGTTACAATAGAAAATCTTTGTGTCTTACGACAAAGTAAAGAGCAATGTTTTTTAACGAAACATTTGGCCGCAAGCAGTGAAAATATACAAAGAAAATAGAGTGTTTGTTTGTTGTTTTAGGATTGTAGTTCGTTTGCATACGGATTTTTACATCTCTTTTGAACCTCAAACGCGTTTTATGTAAAGAAGTTTTGTTTAACTACATTTTAATATAAAAATTACGACAAATACCTTTCCTTCACTTTTAAATATGCTCTTCAACTTAACAAAGGTATTTAAAGGTAAAGGTATCTTAAGGTTGGTGATTAGCAATCATATAAATGTTACATTAAACTAAAATCATTACAGTTAATTTACTTCTTTTAATAGATCCTAATACAGTACAAAAATATCAAGTCAATAACCTCTGGCTTCGGTTTACAATTCACTTTTGAACTGCAGGGTCAAATATTTCAACACTAGGGCGTAAAGTGACTCTTTTTCACCCGACTTCACTTTTTCACGAAATGAGTTATCTTTGACCGTGTGGTGAACTATATTTTTCGTCTCATTACAAAATTATTTGAACAAACTAAATTAGCAAACAAAAAAAGTTTTCATCTAAAGATAACCCCTCAAAACGACTTCCAGCTTGTATGTTGTTCTTACATACAAGAAAACATTGCTCATATCAGAGTATAGTGTAGGACTATTAAAATGAATACGTATCAATACTTCACCTGAACGAAAAACAAATAATAACGGACTAAGCACTATGGAACAACGGTTGGGCTATTGTAATTTGGGAATCAATATTCAATAACTCTATTGACTTGAAACAGACAACTGATGAACAATATTGAAATGAATAATAGAAGCAATTTCGTCCACAGAAAGAAACTGGTCAAGAGGTTTTGTTACTTCATGTGACAGATATTGATTCTTTACATTCTTTTAGTCAATTACAGTTATTCACAACCTTTTTCATTACCAATAATGGTTTGAAGTAGTTGAAAATTGCTTGTTTCTTAACAGTTAAGTTGTTAATTATTGGATAACTGTTAGTAGTTTTAACCAATCTATGTTCCTTGAGGACCCGATATGAGATTTATTTTTGATTCTTTCATATGAAAAAAAGTAATTGAATGACTGATCATAATCACACATTATAATCCATGGGATAGCAACAGTAGACACAAACCTAATTTTCGGAATTGTAGTTGGTAGCTAAACAGGTAAAATTAGACATCGGATTTCTAACTGTTGTCTTGGGTGCTAGCAAATGAAGCTCGCATACTTAACTTGAATCTTATACACTTAATAACTCGTTTGTACAGTTTTTAATTTAAGTTAAATACAGTACGTGATTACATAATAAAACGTACTATAATAATTGTTAGCCAGCTCCCCCCCCCTTTCTGACGAAAAATCATGAATCTTAGTACTTGTTTCGTTCTTAAAATATGCACACAAAAAAGAATGTCACGTATGAGTTTGCTGTCAACAAAACTAGGTTGCCAGGTACGATAAAACTACAAAAGCCTGCATCGTGTTTCTTTTTTACCACGAGGTTATGAGATGAAAGAGGAGGAAATTACTCAATAACACGTCCACAACAATGGACCATCAAACTTGTCCAAGCTTGGTAGTTTGTCTGTGTTACCTTCACCCTGCTTTGGAATAAGCCTTTGTCTAACTTTGTTAATTGACATGTTATTTTTTTATGTATAAGATGACTTTAGTCCACTGAAATATTTATGTAACATGTGACACTAAATAAGAAGCCAATAGACTTCCTATGTAATGTAAATATTTGAAGCAAAAAAAGTGGTGCAATCTGTTGAGATGGTCACCAACTAATGACAATATTATGTGTTAATTGATAAATCAATCAGCTGTTTGCTATGATACTGCATTGGTTTTGATTAATATTCAACCCAATTCATTAGTAATCTGGTGAGATGGTCCTGAAATGCATCTATTTTCTTGGCTTCAAACTTTCATATCACATGGGAAGTCAATCACATAATCTCGAATAAACCTAAATTCAAGTACCATTGCCAGCTCTCCAAGCAGTAAAATATTTCTTGAAACACATTTTACGACACAGGAGAAAACTATACTCGACCATGGTCTTTTATAAATTAATCTTATATCTGAGTTTTAACAGTCTAGATGTTTTGTTTATACGTTTAAAGCTTTGGATAATTAAAACTGAACGCAACAGCAACCAATTATAAATTGTGATAACACATTTCAGCATAAATTACAGTAAACTTATTTTTGGGAGGGGGATTTTTTAATCCACACATTAATTCAGTTGTATTATAGCTAGTATATAAGTGTAGTAAGAGCGTTTTTACATCACGCAGTTGCGTAACGTGTAACGTACAAGATTTTACCTGACCCGACAATATACAGGAGGTTAAGAACAATATTTTTTCCTACAGTCACCCGACAAAGTTGGCTTCCTTGTACTGTTTATAGTACAGAAAGCTGCTAATTGCTGCATAATTATACTTTGCCGTACGGTTTATACTTTGTCGTACGGTTTATACTTTGCCGCACATCAGGATTCCAACGAAACAACACAAAACAGCGTGGTTCTATTATGCACGTAATCCGTGTACGCTTGGAAATAGGTTGGCAACACTTAAAGATAATAATACTATGAGCAGCTGATTGACTATTGTAACTACGATTTAACCTGTCGTTTCGTGTTTATAGTTTCGGTATTTCTGAACTTTCTGGACTTTTCTTTTAAACGTTTTTAAAACATTCCTACGATCTTAATAAGCAAGAAAATACCTTTAAAGCATTTTTTTAGGCGCGGAAACCACTTCAAATTACAAAAACATACGGAACTATATTCTCAAAACGCGGAGCACATTTCTTGCCGAGGAAAAATAGCGGAGTGATACGGACCGCGGGTACTACTTTCTCTAGGGCACCATTTGTGATGCCAGCTGAACCTAAAAACGTGTTGTATAGTGTTTGAGAGACTAATTATTTATATGCTTTATAGTGACTGTAGGAAAAATATAATGTGTAACACGAGTGAAAAAGGCCTTTGCTGCACTCGAGATCATTCCGCACTCGCCTACGGCTCGTGCGTAAACATTGCTCTCGTGTGCAGCAAAGTGCCACTTTCACCACTAGTTACACAAATAACTATTCATTATCCATTTCACTTATCTTCTAACAGTAACGTTCATTTACAAACAAAAGCTAGGTTAGGAAAATTCTCCAAAGCATAACAATGAAATTCAAGCACACAGCTGATTTCTAGCGGTGAACGTAGTTAGCTCCATAGAGGTATATTTTTTAAGTTTTATTTAAATGTTATTTAAATGGGCTTCATTACCTCACCGAGTGAGTTTTTTCAACTTCACTCGTGAAGTAAAGAAGTAAACATCACGCTTGGGATAGGGAAGTTTAACATGGCGGGTTAGGTAAACTAGTTTGAACAGTGATACAAATTAAAACACCTCGTCAATTAGTGTTCTAAAGACTACTGATTACAGGCAACAGCTGATGGAAAAACATTAATGACTCAAGATAATTATACCATTTTCTATATTTTATACCTTGTATCTTCTACGGATACAATGCAGATCTAAATAAGTTAATGCAGTCGACAGTTCCATTTGTCTATGACAGTACGCTGTACGTTGTAGTTGACAGTTCAACAGCTAGGCCTATCATCCCACTGAGATAAAGTAGAGTTTCAGAGACCCTGGACCATACATTTACTTTGTATAGCTGAACACCATGAGTTTACTAGACGTCCAATCTCCTGCTTTGACCTATTTTGAACAGTACAGCAAGGCCTTTTGTGCTTTAGCCTTTGTCCTTGTTCTACCTGACTTGACGGCCAAAGAGAAGAGGAGATGTTGGTCGTACATTAAAAATTAACGAAATATGGTTACATACTTGTCTAGGGTATCTACTACCCTATCCTACATAAATCGAATCTACATAAATTCCCCCGCCGCAGCAATCCTTTAGACTAAGCGAATTTCCATTTTCCTAGCTGGATTTCTACTAAAATATTCCCTTAAAATTGTCAGATTTATTTCCTATTTAAATAACATTTAAAAGGGGACCTCAAAACGAAAAAAAACTGTCTCAGCTCCAGGTCTTACCATGAGTACTTCCTAGAGGTAATAGCTTATTTAATAGTGGTGTAGTTACCTTTAATTTCGTCCCAGTTCAATAAAAAGTTGTAATATCTAAACTACGTGACCATGACGCAACTAGCGTCGAAACCATGGTTGTAGATATTACAACTTTTTATTGAACTGGGACGAAAGTAAAGGTAACTAAACCACTATTATTTTATATTTGTCTTACCAGTTCAGGGGCAAGCCACCACAATGAGTAATAGCTTATTCCTTAAATGGAAAATTCGCTACAAGATGGTAAAATGTAATAATGAGTATTTTCTAATATTTAGAGGGGCGGGAGTGGTCTTAATGTTTGTAAAGCAAGGTTTCTGTCTTGAAGGTCTCGGGTTAAAATCATATCAATCACGTATGGCTTTTAGCTGTAATGCCTTGGAGCCATAATCAATCTGTTCGTCAACATGTAAAAAGGATAGGTCTCTCAACATAAAGGATAGGCGCGGAGAACGTTTTGTGCAATTGGAAGTTTTCCCAATAAAGGTTACACAGTCATTAAACTCTTTGGTATTCTTTCATAAGTAGTCCACCGATCAGAAAACTACAATGTATATAATAGGGTTATAAATAATGAAGAAAGTTTGTGTACAACAGTGTCAAAATTATGAACAGATGTCTGCTACAAAATGAGTCCTGAAGAGGCGCACAACACACAAATGCTAGTTTAGGAATGCAGTTCATACAGTAAAATTAAATCTCAGATGGATTAGTTACTGTTTTGAGTAGTTTTAAGATCAATGACAATGAAATATTTGTGCTCTAAAAATGTGCGAAACAATACTCTTGAAGAACAGTTATACGTTTAAAACTAGCATAAACACATTATTACTATTACAATAATCACAGCATTTTCATTTTAATGCTTTTTGTGTTTTGTTCAAATTACCTAAGAATTTAAAGGATAGTTTATTTGATACCCATTATGATGCAGGCTTTAATATTTATTAAATTTAGATGAAATAGTCTTGATTTTTTTGCGAGAAAAATAAACGGCACTAGAGTGTTTTGAACCACAGGATAGTGATCCTGTTAAAATATTTCTATAAGATAATTTTTGTAAGGTTTTAATTATATCAAATTACTCATAGCGAATTTAAATTTGCCTACAATGATTAAATGTTATTGTGAAATGTTAAGGTCTTCTTTTTGTGCAATTTACCGAAGAGAGACACTTTTCCTACTTAACAACATCACATAACCATGTAATCCTGTTATGAAAATGTTCGTCAAAAGCAACTTTCGCGTTTACGAGATTATTCAAAATAATCTGAGGTTATATTTTATTTATATAATTCTCTGAGTATTTTTTATTTTTATTTTACGTGTATGTTTAATTAGTATAAAATATTTGTACGTAGTATAAATAACCATTTACTTTACATATAACTGCTATTTACTGCATTTAAATAACCGTTCTAGCACAATCAATAGGTTTGCAGAAAGTTTCAAGACTAGACTGTAACACTTGTATAGAATAAATATAAATAAATATATTATTTTAGCTAATTTTTGAGGTTATGAATATACTTATACAAAGTATAAAATATATTTATGTATGCATTTGAAAATAAAAAGTCAAATATAACATTTTAAGTTCAGCTATTTAAATATTTTATTTATAAATGGCATGAGTACAACAAATCTCATACAATTTAGGCTGGATGCAATAGGAATATTTGTATTTCATTATTTTTTTTAGCTTGATGAAAATATTTTGTTTTACTTAACAATGAATTATAATAATAATAGTTGTATTTAGTAAATAACATATTCTTACAATCTCCTTATCAACTTAATTTGTTAATGTTCTTTGACGTCTATTTAAGACTATTATTTACACTTAAATCATTAAAAGCTGGGCGTAGTACAGATTTATCGAACTAAATAAACGACAGAGTGAAAATACCGAGTACTTACACATTGCTTTCAACTCTTTATGCATCTATGTAATTCTTGTTTTTAAAAGCTTACAACATTCTTTGAAATAAATCGATTTAAAATTGTATTTCTTATTTGTACCTAAATAATGACAAGACCATTTTTCGTTAAAAATCCATTTATAAGAAATTCTTGATCAATGTTTTACCCTGAAATAAAGAAAAGAAAATACCAAATGTTTTTCAATGTACATGTTTTTTCGACTCATCGTCTAAAAATTTAGTATAATTTCTGTTTCATAATAATTAAGAATCCAACTAGTAATGTAAAAATATGTAACTCATTCGCAAGAGTAACATACATTTCCCAAAATTGACTGTAAATCGTTTAATAGCTCTTGGCAAAAGCTCTATAGCTCAGAGTAACATTGTTGGTAGGATTAATTAAAAATTCGCATGCAAGCTACTTCAGTTTAATTAAAACTTACCACCGAAACACTTCAAAGAAAAGTTACATTCTTGTCGATGTTGGGAAAATTAATTAAATGCTTCGGTATTAACGGACGTTTATTTAATTTTTATATTTTTCATAAACATGTTAAAATTGCTTTATAGAACCTTATAGTTTAGCTCTCTGATATTCATATATTGACAATATTATACTGCGAAAATATAAGTACACAATTTGTAAACCTGATTATTCACATGATTTGATTCGCACAATAATTGGTGAGTCGGTGGCTCAGTCGGTAGCGTCGCGGACTTCGGGGCCAAAACAGCGATGTCGTGGGTTCGGAACCTGGTCAAACATTTTATCTGTACAGTTCACCTTTGTACTGTACCGGCTCGCCCCTTGCTTTGCAGGATACGTTTACGCACGGGCAGTTAGTCTATGTGGACGGGCAAATGCAAGGTTAAAAGAGGCCGCCAACGTGTAAAAAAATGTATTTGGTAACCAAGCCAAAATTATTGTGGAGTATCAAAATCGTACCGTGTATGTTATAGAATGTATCTATGGTACAAACTGTATTTGACAATAACTCATAAGTGGGTAAAATGCCAGAAACGGGAAGGAAAATTAGAGGTTTTATTTGTGTTTGGAACTCTTTTGAACTACTTTTTATTAACAAAATGTAGTTGTTATAGGTATTATTTAAAAAGTTATATTTGTAATATTTTGACATTATAAATTTATTTCAATTACATGAATCGTGCAGACTCGATAACAGAGTGAATTTATCCATGAATTATTAATACACAAATAATACAAATAAACTTATGATCCTGGAGGGAAATCTGAAGGATGTTTGGTGTGTTTGATGTCCTGGACGCTTGAGTGCGTTGACGTCAAATGAATGTTTCTCTGTTATTCCAGAGTAAATTTTACAGTGTCTGCTTTGTTTTTTTTTTCTCAAATAAGCATATTTACCAGGATTTTGTAAAATACTTAAAGTTCTATTTATCTTCTTCAAAATCGGATAGGTAACAAAAATCACCATATCCAAGCGAACACAACTCAACCAGTATAAAAAAAACCTATGATGAACAGTTTACTTAAAAAAAAGCTTCAAATACGGTTAAACATTAATTAAAACCAAATGGACGACTAATTATTAATTATAAACTAGTGGGTTATCCTCTAACACAATGTTTTATTAAAGTATTTTATTAAAAATATTGCGGGTGACATTGATTAAAATATTTGTGGTTGTGTCCTAACTTTTATTAAATATTACCACTAAAACAATTATAAGAGTAACATTTTTGAGCCTTGGAAAACTAATCATGATACTTTAATTAATATTTTCCTGGTTTGATATTTTTAGGTCCGAGGGATGGTGGTTGAATGATTTTAAACCGTTTAATTCACTACTTTTCTACATGTGTCAATATATTCAATTAAGACTTAAATTCATAACAATCACATAACAAAGACAAAATAATCTTTCCGTTAATGTACTATATTTTTGTTTTGTTTGACAACAACAATTTTAAATAATAAAAAATCTGGAGATACCATGATAAGGACCTAAATACTAAATTTAATCTAAATTAGACCATAGTTATAATAGCTCAATACACATCCATTCACACACGCACAAACATCACTTCAAAATCAACTCTATTGGGTTCAGGGACCCAAAACGGACATTTCCATCCAAAACTCAAACATGAAATTGTTGACAAAAACAAAACCTTTACCATGTATTGGCTTCGAAAGCAAGAGAAACCTCTCCAAAAGCATGATCATAAGTAAAATTTATCTACAACATAGATTCAATCGTCTACAAAATAAAAACTCTTCAAGGTCTTTAGAAACACCCGAATCGAACAAAATTGTTTGATAAAGATTTTTCCAAATTTTCATTCCACATTTTATTGACCATCGTTTCAAACATCTTACAAAAACCGTAAGAACCAATTCAGATCACAGCATGACACTTTTCAATAAAATGTCTGTTACTAAGGAATCTGTCATTCAAGGGAACGGATTGTATCGTAAAAGATGAATATGAGTCTATAATCCCACTTATCTTGCTAACTAGCAATTCTATAAGAGGTGATAAGCAAACAATTATGGTCAGAAAAATCGATGATGTTACGAAGCAGTATTCTGCTCCTTCATAGTTGGTACTTGCTATTAAGATTAACACCAAACGTTGTGAAGGCTAATCAATGGTTAATGCACATCATAAAGAACACTATTTTAATAAAACGAGAGGTTTTCTAAATCTTAATCCCGGAATCGCATTTTTGACGCCTGCCGGTATTTAATCAAATTCATGGTTCAATCAAAATATTAAAATATTATCATCTTATGACGAACCAAGAGC